AATGACATTCTTGCAGGGGAGTTTCCCAGCGCCTGTGAGAACTGCGCTCCCGGGCTGGAAACGCCCGTTTTTCTTCACTAGATTATCACACTCTTCTTGCAGTGCTGGACCAGCAGCTCTTAACAGTGCCCCAGAAAGGCAACCATTGTGCTTTAGGTCTTCATTAGATGCATTCACCACAACATCAACGGGGTAATCACTCAAGTCACCTTTATACACTGCTACTACAATGCCATGTGGCAGTCTTGTTTTGTAGTAGAGCTTTCTTTTCACTTTATCATCCCTCTGTTTTTGTTCTTCTTCTTCCTCCTCTTCTTCCTCTTCCTCTTCTTCTTCTTCCTCTTCTTCTTCTTCCTCTTCTTCTTCTTCCTCAGAAACATCAGTTACCATCAAAAAAACATCTTCCAACAACCTGTTTCTCACATCTCCCCAATCTGCAGGGTTTACTTTACATTTTATAGCTGTGTAACGTGCCATGATACGTGAGAACTCAGTAGAAGCATCTTGCTTCCACGTCTTGATCAGCTTAATCATTGTCTTCTTCTGCTCGGAGAGAGATGACGATGGGCACAACGTGACTTTGGGGTTTGCACAGTGTGCCTGGGGCCACTTGAGCTCACAATGGCAAACTGCCATTTCCTGGTTTATGCCTCGGATCAGGTTATCATGCCTTTGTAAAAACTGCCAGACAAACGGGTCTAGTGGCACCTCAACAGGGTCTGGCATCCTGATAGTCAGTCTTTCTCCTCCGTAGAGAGCTGTTCCCAGGGACTGGTAATAGGGATGCACAGAAATCAGTGTCTGTTCCAGCAAATGCTGCTTTTCCAAGACTGTGTTTACATCTGAAAGGCAATGCACATATGTACACACATACAGATATTATGAACTTCAAATCAAGCAAATGTCTCTCTCTGTAGAACTCTTACATTGATTTTTTTTTCTCTTTAATTTCAAAGAGCTATTTTTATGTCTTTCTGGTTTCCAAACCACTCTGTAGGGGATCATGCAAGAGTCTTGGCTCCTCCTAGTTG